TGGCTCATACTCCTCGCCTCCTTCGTCGGTAAACTCATGACTTTCGATTCTTCTCCTCACTTGAGAGGAGTTTTTCTCGAGACGGCTCCCCATCTTGTTCGGTGGTCACGGTGCTTTCGTATAGATGGCGGATGTCTGGGATCACGGCCGATGACCCAAATGCTAGCGTTGCGATGAATCCCTCACACGAAATCCTGTCCAAATTATCGAGCGCATGATATCAAACATCTTCATCGAAGAGTAAGGATAGCGCCCGTGTGGTACGGAGATCGAGACCGGGGCGCACAAGTGAGTTGGCGATGAGATGCTCTTGACGGAGCACCGACGGCGTAGATGATGCCTGCGACGCGGATGACCGCGTTAAGTGGAGTGGGGCCTTCACGCGTGTAAGTGCACGGCCCCTGTCTGTCAAGTTGCATGACTAATCTGTACCCGCCCAAAGTACGGGTACCTTTTTTTCGGCGTTAAGCACTTTGACTTACAAGAGCTCAATGTTTTGCTTGTTTGCGACAACCTGTCGGACCCAACAACCGTCGAGGAATTGCGACCATGAACAACGAACAGTTTCGGAAGCTGCTAGGCGCGAACTCAACCAAGTCATCATCACCCAGTAATGGAGCCACTCCAGGCAGCGCCACGCCATCTGGCGCTGGTGCTCTGGGATCGCGACAACGGTCAAGCATCCCAATGACGCCGTAAGCTTCCTTGGCATGCATCACTTCAAGTATCTGACTAACTCGCGGGTTGCAGCCGGTCTGTTGGTGGCATGAACCCTAGAAACGAGTTTGCGCGACAACTTGCTGCTAGAAATCAAGCAGCTCAGCCCCAGAAGAAGTTCCGATCGTCAGCGCCCAAAGGATCCCGACTCGCCGAAGGCTACGTGGACCGATCGAAAGAGCGGTACGATGAAGAGGAAGACGACCGTGCGAAAAGGATAAAGGCGTTGGAGGAGTCACTCAAGAACGAGGAGATTGACAAGGAGACGTTTGAGAAGCTCCGCAACGAGATTGCAGGAGGCGACATCTCCAGCACGCATCTAGTAAAGGGGTTGGACTTCAAGCTCCTGGCGAGGATACGAAGAGGCGAAGACGTTTGGAACGACGAAAAAGACAAAGAAGAGAAGGAGGAGGCGCCCCCCGAAGAGGACATTGATGAAGCATTCGACGAATTGGAGGAGTCAGAGGTGCAAGCTATCGAAAAGGAGACGGTCAAGAAGAAGGGCCAGATGGCATCTATAGCGCTTGCACCTGGGAAAAAGAGAACACGAGACCAGATTTTGGCGGAGATGAAGGCTGCAAGAGCGGCTGCAAAGGCAGCGCAAGACAATCTGGGCGACAAATTCAGGAAGATTGGAGCGAAGCAAAAGCCCGGGACTCGCATTGAGCGAGACAGCAAGGGCCGCGAGGTTCTTATCATCGTCGACGAAGACGGTCACGAGAAGAGAAAGGTCCGAAAAGTACAAGCAGGGGTAGAAGAAGAGCAGAGGAAGGAGTTCATTCCGGATAAGGACGCGAAGCCGCTTGGCATGGAGGTTCCTGAATTCTACAAGAAGCAGCAGCAGCAGGAAGCCGAGGAAGATGACAACGATGACATTTTCGCCGACGCGGGAGACGACTACGATCCGCTTGCTGGCATGGACAGCGATTCGGATGAGGACGACGAAGGCGAGGTAAAGGACAAGGAGGCGAAGGAGGACGCCAAGGCAGAACCCAAATCCGACTCGACATCAATGGCACCACCTCCCAAGCCAGCCGCCCCGCGCAATTACTTCAAGGACTCCAAGACGGAGCTTATTTCATCACAATCCATCAAGGCACCCTCTATGGAAGACCCTGCAATCATGGCAGCGTTCAAGAGGGCCGCACAGCTCAGAGCAGCAAACAAGGAAGAGGATAATGATGAGGATGAAGACGACGAAGAGGCCAAGGCCCGCGCGGCACGTCGCAGGAAGATGCTGGAGTCGGTCGACCGTGATGCCGAAGATCTGGACATGGGCTTTGGCACCAGCAGATTTGAGGATGAGGCCGACTTTGACGACCAACCAATTAAGTTGTCTCAATGGGGCAACGACGATGATGACGAGGGTGGACACGGTGGCAAGACGAAGAGAAAGAGAGGTCCCAAGAAGAGAAAGGGCGACGGTAACAACGCAGCAGATGTGTTGAGGGTCATGGAACAGCGGAAGGCGGCGGAGAAGTCCTGAATAGCGGAGGCAGCACAGTGAGTAAAGCCGTAACTTCAAGTAAGTGATGGCTACACTTGCAAGGCGACCAACAGTATCATCGTCATAGTCACGCCCTCTGTATTGTCTCGTCTTGGCCTCTCAACGCGGCCTGGACGACATACATATCGCATGCCTCCATCACTGCCTTAGGCGTACAGCATAGAGGCAACATGGACCTAACCTAGCTTCAGAGGGAAAAATGACGTTGAAGATATCAGAGTTCGATGACTCAGCAGCAGATGACCTGGTGCGAGACCCGGCAAACACGGAAGTGTTTTCGGTGGTGGTGCTGGGTCTGCTGGACCTTCCGAAACGGGCGCATGTCGAGTGCTCGGAGGACACCGCCTCATTATCAACAGCCGCGCACCTCCGCTTGAAGCTTCGTCTCGCAGTGTTTCTCTGAGGTAATCGCCCGTGGGGTCCACCGCCCCAAGATCTCGGCACTCCGTGTGTCTGTAGGGCGTTGGCACCAGTGAGGGCGACAGGAGAGACCGTTCATAGGGTTTCGTCTAATCAGAATCAAAATAAAAACACCGCAGACATGATTATCATGTGATGGGATTGGCCCAATCTTTTTTCCCTCCCCGTTTGGGCACCCGCCCAGGTGCCCATCCACCCATCCTCCGCCTGTCTCCGTCTGTTTTCCTAGGCCAACGGCTCCCCCGCCCCCGTATCGAAAGCCCCAGAGGAGGGGCCCCCGTGCCCGTTTGGTTGGTGTTATCCACTGTGAGTGGGAACGCTTCCAATGAAGCGCACGGCGACCAGTCCGTGGCTGTTTACCTGCCGCGGCGGCCAACCCTCGCATACCTGGCTGTCCGCCGCCCTCATCTCTGTCCGACATCCTCAGCGATTCCGTGGAATTCCATATACCTCAATTTTGAATAATATTATTTCTTGGAGCTACCATGGTCGACCTCAAATTGACGGAGCCCACAGTCCCAGTCTGGCTGGACTGCGACCCAGGCCACGATGTGAGTTGCCGCCGTCATCATGTTGTGTGGTGTGAGGGGGCCATGATAAACCTGCATGCCTCATGAGTCTCACACTCACACGCCGCATGCAAAACAAAAGTCATGCACGACACTGCACTTAGCCACTACCGGCCTGTACGGAAACCAAACTCACGCTGACCGAACCTCACCAGGACACCTTCGCCATCCTACTGGCCGCCTACCACCCCACAATCAAGCTACTGGGCCTCTCAACTGTCTTCGGAAACGCCCCCCTAGAGTGAGTAATACACACGATGCCCCCCTAGAGTGCTTCATTCTAACAACATCCCAGAAAGACAACCGCCAACGCTTCGTCCATTCTCACGGCGATCGGCAAGCACAATGACATCCCCGTCTACGTCGGCGCCGCCAAGCCCATGGCCCGGCCGCCCATGCAAGCCGCCACCGACATCCACGGCGAGTCCGGCCTCGACGGCACCGACCTCCTCCCGCAGCCCCTGAAGGCCGCCGACCGCACCACCCCGGCCATCGACGCCATGGCCGCCGCCCTCTCCGCCCAGGCGCCCGGCACCGCCTGGCTCGTCGCCACGGGCTCCCTCACCAACGTCGCGCAGCTCTTCGCAAAGTACCCGGACCTCGTCGCCCACATCAGGGGGCTGAGCATCATGGGCGGCGCCATCGGCGACGGCTTCACGGACATCGTCATGGGCAAGGTCGACGGCGTCGCGCGCGTCGGCAACTGGACGCCCTGGGCCGAGTTCAACATCATCATCGACCCGGAGGCCGCCGCCGCCGTGTTCCACAACAAGGCCCTCGCGGCCAAGACGACCCTCGTCCCGCTCGACCTGTCGCACCAGGTCCTCGCCACGGAGGAGGTGAGGGAGCTGCTGCTGTACGGGAAGGACGCCGCCGGCGAGAAGACGGGTAAGGGCAAGACCACGCTGCGGCAGATGCTGGTCGAGCTTCTCATGTTCTTTGCCAAGACGTATAGGTATGTGTGATGATATGCTTGTGTGTGTGCTGTGTATGGGAAACTGATTGGCGGTACAGCGACGTCTTCGGCATCACCGCCGGGCCGCCCCTCCACGACCCCCTCGCCGTGGCCGCCGTCCTCACGGGCACCAAGCACGAGATCCCCTTCTACGACTTCGACACCAAGAAGGGCAACTGCGTAAAGTACCACGAGCGCTTCGACCTGACCGTCATCACGGAGGGATCTCTTGAGGATGCGAAGGAGGGCAAGGCGCAGCTGGGAAGGACGGTCGCGAAGCTGCTGGAGCCGGGCAGCGAGGGCGTCAGGATACCCCGCGGTCTCGACATTCCCATGTTCTGGAAGGTCATTGAGGAGTGTACGGAGCGGGCGGATCGGGTCAACGCCGGTGAGGTGACGGGGTTGAAGGAGAATGGTCCTCTGGAGAACTAAAAAGTTGTCTGCTGGTGCGAGGTCTGGGTTGCATACGCCTTGTCAAGCCGCGATTGTCTAGCGAGTCTGCGTTCAGTATTGATAGACCAACAAGTTTCAGCGCTTTGCCAAGTCCTCTCACTCACGGTGCGACGAGAAGATTGTGAACGGTGAAAAAGAACTCCGACCCCGAACGCTGAGCGTCAATCTCAGCAGCGCAAGTTGCTTCACGCCCAAGTTTTCCTACTACGTTAACATGAACCCAATTGGATATGTATTAGGTCTAGATATGACTCTATTTTGAAAACTTCGTGGTTTCCGTTACTCCTCTGCTCAAACAGAGCCACCGCTTTTCAACAAAGCCCAATCCTGTCTTCTATAATGGGGTATCATATGCCCTTCTATATTCCATTTTCCCAAGTCAAAATCGCTTCTCATCAGAATTCTCTAATCTCATCAACACTCTCAGGACCCTCTCATAAGTCCACACCGTAACCGCGCTTCCTGGAGCGGCCTTGATAAGACTGACCGTCAAACCGCGGTACAGTCCCCGTATGCCTTCACTTGCAAAGATCATTCGCATGGCACGCACCGCCCCGGGATACTCGGGAATGTTCTTGTGCACGTATCGCGATCGCGTGGGGCCTTGCACCTGGATACGTTTCCGCACCAGATCAAGGGGGAAAACGGCTGTCTTGGACATGACGCTGGCCATAACACCAGCCGTGGCGTCGCCACCGCCCCATGGTAGATGCAAGTCACCTAGCGGCAAGCGCAGACCTTCATACAATGCAAAGAATATGCCCATGTACGGTACGATCTGCGCCACACCGGGCCCGAGCCCTCGGAAGAAGCCGCGGGGTCCTTCGTCTCGGTAGATGTCGGTGACGGCGTGTCGAAGGCCAGTATACACCCGTTCGTTCCCCTGCGCGGCAAAGCGAGTCCGCAGTAGGTCGAGCGGATATGTGGCCGTCGTAGCGGCAGCTCCGGCGGTAGCTCCGGCGATGAAGGACTGGGCGGCGTTGGGGAGTCGGTTATCGGAGATACTCTGAAGCAATTGGGCCGTCGTGCGGTAGGTCGTAAACTGGACTGCCGAGTAGCAGACGTACATCAGTTCTGCTGGTACGTTGCCCTTCCACAGGCCTGTGACTCCCTCATTCGCGATGATCAGCTTCATAGTGTTCAGAGTGCCCTTGTACACGGGCCCGCCCCTGGCGGTCTGGATCGACAGAGGGTCGGAGAGCGAGTGTGACTGCAGCTGGAGGCGGATCTTGACGACATCGAGGGGAGCGATTACAAAGCTTTCCCATTCAAGTCAGCGTTGGGTCACAAGTTTTTGTCTTCCCGTCTGGCAGGTGATGGATGGCATACCGAGCAAACAGACCGGCCGTGGCGCCGGCCGTTACAACCTGCAGGCGGGAGCCCTGGGCGGACAGTGTGTAAGCATCGTGACGTTTCGACAGCACATGTAGACATGACGGCAGCGAAATCGGAGAGGCCGTTCGTGGGGGCAGTGTCGCCTTACCTCATCTTTGAGGCGTTCGCCGCTGGGCGACATGCATCCGGCTGTGTCCTCAAGGGGACCTGCGTAGAAGGCGTGTGAAGGGAGGACGAGACTGGCAGGGCAGCTCGTGGTGGTCGTCGGAGATGCGCGACTTGTTTTCGGGACCGTAGGACGAGGTTTATCAGGGTCAGATGAGTCGCGTGTCTGTGGGAGTTCGTCCAAGCGGCGCGGTCCGAGATCTCAACGACGGGGCGTCTTCCCGCAGTTCTATCGGCGTGGCACTGCTCGGCAAGTCGAAACAACCAGATGGCGGCTCCAGCGAGTGAGGCTGAGAGGTCTCAATTGAGTAGAAACTTGTTTGAGGATCGTCCCGGTGATGGCTAGAAACCGAATGTCGAGGGTCTGTCCGCTATTCGTTTTCGATGTTGGTTCTTTTTGGCTAATCTCAATTCTGTTGGACGTCTGTTCGTCGCTCGCGTGGGAATTTTTCTGGTTACCTAAGATGGACATCTTGGGTGAGATACCTAGCTCCCACCCAGGACCCCCCAAGCATTGTGACGCAATGCTGATGGTAGCGCGCTGTCAGGGAGATTTACCACTGCATCTTGGGAGAGATAGCGCGCTGGAACCCCACTGCGGGCGTCACTGTAGCAAGGGCACCCGCCTTCTCCATGCAAAATTTAGTGGGCATAGCCACGCAGGGTCTGGTCCCTTTCACCCGTGCGGGCCAGGCAAAGGAGATCAAAGACGTAGAGAGAGAGAGAGCGGATGTAAGATGCAAATGCAAGTCTTATTTGGACTGATGGTCGACGAGAGCGGGTTGCCATCTCACGGGACTCGTTGCGAGACGTGCAAGAATTGGGAGGAATTTTTTGATCTCATCAAAACCACGAGGCTGCGTGCTTGTCCATGTTCTCATGACTGCTTGCGTCTTGTGACCACTGGCAGCTCTGACGACACTGGTTGGCAACCTACCCATCTGGATTAGCATCTGAAAGAGATGAGAGGGGAACGCCTCAGTCAAGAGGAGTTGCCGAGAAGAAACAATCTTATCAGAACTCGGAAGGAAGGACGATGTTGGTAGATAGATAATCACCAAGACATGTTTGAATGTTTGGAAAAAGTATCGTAATGTGAATCTCCCATGGAAGCGTCCTGACAAATGTCTTTGTCTCATCAATGCCCGGCAACTGGCTGTTTCGAGGGGCACTCGAGTAGTGTAGGCAGCAAGGTACCTTGAATTCGCAGCGAAGGACCCGGTGTACGGCAACGAGGGACGGCAACAGATGGGCATGGAGGGTACTCTCGAGGTCCAGCATGGCCACAATGTACTTCCCTGTCGTCGGGGTAAGAAACCAGCGAAGTTGAGACGAATGGAAGAAGACCTAAAAAAGGGCAGGTCGAGGCAAGTGGGCAGCTTCACCCGGATTCTGGGGCTCCAGTAACACGTGCCAAAGTTGGCTCGTCAGTGTCTCTGCGCTCGAGCGGCCTGCTCCTAAGCAAGATGCAGCAAGGTCATTGGCTCATCGCTAGTGGTTCCCTCCGTCCGAGACGACTCCCCTAGGCGGAGTCGCAATTGCCTTTGAGGTGCCTCCGCATTGGCTGGAACCGCCAGTCTTGGCGTCCCGGCCGCCCCTCGCCCCCCCTCAGTGTGGGGAGCAGCCCCCCGACCGAACGCTGAACTCGATGCGCGACCAGCGGGAAAACCCAGTCACCCAGTCCAGCCCTGGATGGGGCAGGAGCCACACGGAGCCTACGACACGACACTGGACACTACACTGCAACTGGACACTGCACCTCTAGCTCGCCCATGGCACCGCCGACTGCCGTTCCGCCTGCGTAACAGCCCCGTCGACTCGACCGAGTTAGACTTTCTGCCCGCCTTCCTCTCCTCCTCTTTTCCGTTTTCTTTATTATAGACGCGACCTCCCCTTGTGTCGTCACGATCATATCCTTTTGCTCTCTCAATACCTACTTTACTACTCACCCAACTTCGATACGCCAAGGCAGAGATTTCCGAGTCAGGCTGACCAGCAAGACATCCATCTACCCCCAGCAGTAGCTGCATGTGATATCGTTACCTACCTTACCTTACCATACACCTGGCCATCCGCACTACTACTACTTCTACTACCGCCGTCTCTGTAACTTGGCCACCGCCCCTTGCCTCCCATATAATACTCACGTATCCCCCGCGAGGAGTGTTGACGAGGAATCCCAAACTACCAATCTTTACCTCCAACATCACAACCACAATGGCGACGACAACATCACCGCCTATGCCCAACATCGGCGGCCTGCTGGCTCCCATCTTGCCCGCCTTGCCTCCTGCCTCTATCTCCACACAGCCGGCCATCGGCGTCTTGCCGCTGCTTAGCCCAATCCTGAGGCAAAGAGTTCAGCTCCTCTCAGAGTCTAGCACTGAACCCTGGATTCGCCTGCTTGCCTACGACACAGACAAGGCAGCAAGACTGAGCGAGATTGTCCAGAGCGGTAGACTAGAACCCCATCCTGTATCAGGCGAGGTCGAGGTGGACTGGGAGTACGATGCGAAGACGCGATACAGGCGACTCGACTTGGAGACGCTGCAGGCGCTCGTTGTACTCGAGGAGCTCGAACTGTCGTTTCGTCTCATCTACTGCGTCGGCGACAAGGACGGCGGCGGTGACGGTTGGAGAGTCGGCGAGGTCAGCGTCGTCGACAAGAATGCTCCATTCGGCGACTTCGGTGGCTACTCGACCATCGCGGAGGCTGAGAAGGCCCACGCAGACGACAAGGCATCGAAGACGAGCAGCTCTAAAACCCCAGCTGCAAGCTTTGACGCTGCCGAGGCCGACGAGGATGAGGATGACGGCTACTGGGACCGATATGACGCGACGCCTGCTCGTACGCCTGCCAACCGAACGCCAGCAGTCAAGCGCTCGCCTGCACCACACGCATCGCAAGCGTCGCAGCTCGGTGCGTTCCGTACAGATTCGGCAGAGGATGCCTACTATGCGCAATACGATTCTGTGCAGCCGGCGATGGATGCTCACGATCCCGATGAGGAGGTTGAGGGCTTCGATGTCGCACCGCCTTTGGGTCTGGGTACCGTCGTCAGCCAAGATATCTCGGAGGCAGGACTTACCGAAACCAACGGCTCTTGGACGATGGCTGAGCCGCCGCGTTCGCCCTCCATCCACAGCCAAGACGAGGACCGGGCGGCCGTACTTCTCCACCCCCGCCCGGCATCAAGCGCCAGCAGTAACGGAAGCCGCATGGTCGAGAAGCTCGAGGAGACCGCCGAGAAGCAAGGCGCGAATGAGTTCGGCGTAAAGCAGCACGTGTCAAGAAGCCTTCGCAGCCTCTTCCTGTTGGCACGCTCGTCTGGCATTGACAGGGAGGAGTTTGAGCGGCTCGTGAAGACCGAGCTGGATGTCCTCGGCATGATTGAGGATGAGGAGGAGTGATTTTGAGGCTGACGGCCTTTTGTATATAAGGAGTTCTTGTGCTTGGTGGTGTTCCGTGGGGATATCCGTTGGGTCAGGATGATCATTTGGCATAGGTCGGCTGCATGTGTATCGGCGTTAAATCTTGGCCATATATCAACAATTCAAAGCGAGAGCTGTTCAGATCAACCATTGGAAGAAAGTGAAGAATGATGTCAAAAATGGAGAGACAGAAATGTTCAAGGTCTTGAACATCTGAGAGCTCAACAATTCGAAGCAGCTAAACGGAGACCTCGTCCCATTGCTAAGCCAATACCTTCTCGATATGTGCATCATGCTTCTTAACCTCGAGGCTGCGATCGAGTCGAGGGAATAAAATGTGGAGTGAATTGGAACAAGAGGCAGCAAATTCAATGACGGTGCTTTGGCAATGGCGAATATTGATGTTCTGCTGGAAATGATCATGTCGAAGGAGAGATTTTCAGGTAGCTCGCTATCGCGCCAGTCCCAACTGTTGTGAACTCTGTACGAGCCTCGGCACCCTTCATCGGTCCAGCAAGAGGGGTAAAATGAGGCGACGCATGCCGGGGCCGTCCGATCTTGACTGGAATAAGCGCGTGCAATTTTGGGCAAACATGGAATGGCAGAACCTTTCCCGCATGATCACACTAGCAAGGTTGAGATTAGCCGCCCACGCGATCGTCTCCGCGTCAAGATCACCGTGCTCCAGGGTCAGGGTTGTGCGATGCGCCCTTACGGTTTTAAGCGCCCTTCAAAGAGATGGGCGGCTAAGTAGGCAGCCAGGGTCAAGAGTCGTACGTGCCGCCGCCGTTGGTGTTGCTATTCACCATCTCCTGTTTTCGATGGCATTTATGTTGGTGATCGACAGATGGGAGTGTTCCGATGGCATGTTGCATAACGACCTGAGCTTGAATCTGCAGGCTGCCAGTCTGCTGATGTTGGTGGTTCGGGTTGCTCAAAACGGAATCATTCTGTGGGATGTAGGAATCAACCCAGATTGGGTCACATTCCCAGGGGCCGAATTCAATGTGGTCACCAACATGAGATGCAAAGATGTTGGTGTTGGACGTGGAAAGTAGCTTGTAAGTCCTGATGAAGCCATCACCAACAAGCAACCCCTCTTTCCCCATTGGCCGAACTACCCCCCTAAAGTGGACAAAATGTACCCGCCCCGGCCCAGCGCACTGTTCACGCCTCAATCGTAAGGCCACCAAGCGCCAATTGCAGCGGCACGCACCACCACGAGCCGCCCAAAAAAAGTTCACCACCAAAAAGCGACTTGCACCAGACTTGGGAGAGACGTCGTGACGGGTCGAAACCAACGCGGCGGAACATCACCACCCACCACACACACAGCCATGTTCCGCTCAACATTAAGGATACCGCGCATGAGCGTGGCCGCGCGAGTGGTGCGCCAGCAGCGCTCAGTGCACTACGTGCCCCAGCTGAGGCACGACTTCAACGAGGGCGTCCCGGGACTGCTCTCCGCCGACGGCTACGACATGGCTTGGACGCAGTACATGACGCTGATGATCGATAAGCTCAATGCCCTGACTGCAGGTTCGTCTCTTCCCTCCTTCCCTCGTTCGCTGCGTACCAGCATGCGACGTACCTACTATCACCCCGGAGCTCCCAACGGGGAATGACATGCCACACGCCAATTGAACCCTGGAGAAAGACTGAGGGCTAACGTTCACCCTCCCAGGAACCGACCTTGAGCCGCGCGACCCGAAGCAGATCATCCTCGCCACGGCCCGCGACCCCGACCAGGCCCCGATCTTCAACCACGCCTCCATGGCGCACAACACGCACTTCTTCTTCAAGCACCTCACCCCGGACCCGAAACCGATGCCACAGCCGCTGGCCGATGCGCTCCTCCGCTCCTTCTCTTCGATCGAGACCCTCCGCCGCGAGATGATCCTCACGGCCTCCGCCATGTTCGGCCCGGGCTTCGTCTGGCTCGTCAAGAACTCCCAGGACGAGTTCAAGGTCCTCACCACCTACCTCGCCGGCAGCCCGTACCCGGGCGCCCACTGGCGCGGCCAGAACGTCGACATGAACACCGTCGGCAACACCGGCACCGCCAGGCCCTACTTCGACAACGTCGTCAAGGCCCAGACGTCCGGCTCGAAGCCCCCCGGCGCCCTCGAGGCCCACCCCGTCCTGTGCCTGAGCACGTGGGAGCACACGTGGCTGCGAGACTACGGCCTCGGCGTCGGCGGCATCGGCGGCAAGAAGGCGTTTGCCGAGGCGTGGTGGGAGGTTATCGACTGGCAGGCCGTGCATGAGGCGGCCCATCTCACTAGCCGCCCCGCCATGAGGGCATGAAGTCGATGAAGGCGTTTTGTTGTTGCATGGGAGAGGGTGGTGCACGGCAGTCAGGAATGAAGATGAGATGCCCTGATACGGGTCTCCCGCCTGGATATGCGCTGTGGCGGCGGTGGTGGTGATGTAGGAATTACAACAAAAAAGGAATTGTATGAATAGACATCCGCATATACAGATGAAGCCAAAATGTACTATGCTGTACTACTAAAGATCTCAACCCGTTGCTACCGCGCTCTTCGGTCTGACACAGTCTCAGGTGATTGAGTTGACGTTGATGCTGCGTATGGGGGAAATTTCGACCGCAGAATTGCTAGCCCTTTCATGTACTGCTCAACCCAGATTGTACGGCGGCCATCATCACTCACAGAAGGGGGCCTGCTCTGACTTCCTACCGGCCTAGCTTTTCCAAATTCATTGCACCTGTGACACAATCCCAATAACGGATGACTTCGATCTTGACCATGACGGAGCTATCGACGTACATCATGATGGGCGTCGCAGAAACTACAGCCCACGGAAACTAAAGATACCAGCGGCGTACTACTCCTTAAACTGTCGTTTGCATAATGGTTTTCCCGGCTATGTCGAGTCTGGAACTCTGCTCCCCTAAAGCGCGACGCTAAGCAGCATTGGCACATCATCAAAACCTCAGGTGATGTGAAGAGACATAACATGCCATAGATATGAGGAACCTTACATGATTTGGTAAATGAGAGAGTGTGATATGAATACACCGACATCGGGATACGTATTTCTCCAACCCTCACTTCACGTTTAATGCCATGGCAAGCCTAGTTCTCATCCTGCTTCTATTAAAGCCCATAAGAAAGACATTACAGAACGACAAATATAGCACTATCAATTCACAGACTTTCTAGTATCGACGCTGAATGTTAGACAATATCGACAACCATTCCTTGATGATACCGTCTATCAATTGCCGAGATGTTGTCAGAAGCTTGTCAAGGACAGTTATACTCTTGACGGATACACGGCTCCAGCCCCAGACTTTCTTCTTTGGATAGCTCACTGAATCTAGCCATCCATTGAAACCTCCACGCTCGTCACTTGCGGGTATGAGATCTACCCCAACTACTTCGATATTGCTGGCAGCGTCTTGTTTTCTTCAGAAGTTAGACTAGGAAGCTTCACGAATTAACGCATGCGGGTCCCCGTTTACATTCGCTGCCCTCTCGCTTCTCTGATTCCCTTTCACAGATTGTTTGCTACATGGCAGGTAGGCAGGCCTGCCACATATGCTGCAGCTTTAGTACCACTTTCCCATTCAGACTTTGGAATTTCCTACGGAGGACTTGGTCAAACAACTGACATGTAATCGTTCAAAATGTGCCTACATTGCACCACGGAGCACATGATCTTAAAGTCACATCGCAACACGAATCCACTTCAGAAGTTGAGACCAAGAAGTCGTGCATAACCAGACCCAGGCCTCGTGCGAAGCCCCTCACGGATCTCTTTCTCATTTTCGAGCTACAAAAGCTAGCTAGGTATCATAAGTGCCATCCCTAAACTTATATATAAAATCAAGGAGCGTCTTTTCGTTTCGTCGGAGAGTGTTGAGGGGCGTGTTTGTGTGTGATGTGTGTTGTATGCAAAGGTCGTGTGGTAGTATGAGGTCAAGGTTGGTAGAAAAAAGGAAAAAGATTAAGCCAGTAACCAAATCCCCGTTCCTATCCTTTCCCTCCCCCCCGTATTTTTGGTTTCGTCAAAAATTCATCATCAACCCGGCGTCAGGTAAAGGGGGGAGGAGAATCTGAGCAAGGATATAACAAATGCCGCTATCCAGAACTATGCAACGCAATGAAATAGAGAGAAAGAAGCAAACAAAAAAGCAGACGCGTAAACAAGAAGGTATCCTTTTTGAGCCACTGCAGACTTGGGTCCTGAGGCAGGGTGCGTGCTTGCTTTCTTTGAAGTGAAATAAGAAATACAAACGCGGGTCATTAGCCATCATCATTTTGTTTTGGGTGTTTTTGGTTTATTTTTGTTTTGTGTATGACTTTCGCCTCCCAGGAGATTGAAAGATTGCGGAAAGGAAATTAGTCGTGGGAGAGAGGAGGAAGATTTAGATCATGTTGCCGTTGACGCTGACCTCGAAACCATCACCCTTCTGTCTCATGGCCTTAGCGAGCATCAACTCGCGCATCCAGTCGATGCGCTCGTCACGGCTCTTGACAGCGAAGTGGTGGGTCTTGCCAGTGCCATTGGCACCCTCGGCAGGGACAGACGAGGTCGAGTTGGAGTGGTGGTGGGTGAATCCGTTCAGGGCGCTCTCGCGCTTACGCAGCTTGGCGGCGTTCTTGTCTTGGGGGATAAGCTGGAAGCTGAAGGCAGCGACGGGGTCGCTCTTCTCACGCGAATGAGAGGAGAAGTGGACTGCGCGGAAGGCGGCGGAGAGCTTGCTCTGCGAAGCCAGGCTGGAGCACGCAATGGCATAGTCGTCAATGTCGACGTACTCAAGAGTGCGGTCGACTGTGCGCTCGTCCTTGTGAACAGCCAAACGGGTACCCTTAAGGGTGCAGAAGGTGTCGTTCCACTCGTGACGAAGCATCTTTGTCTTGCGCTTCTTCATGGGGCCCTGGAAGGTGACACCGTCACGTTGAGCCTCCTCGACGGCTTGCTTGACAGGAATGGCGCCCGCAAGGTGGGAGATGGGCGGGATAGCTTGCTCAAAGGGGTGGGTACGCTCAACGGGCGACCAGGGGTAGTTGACGCGGGGAGGAGCTTGAAGAGGCTGAGTGCGGGTGGAGGAACGGGGAGAACGAGGAGAAGAGTGCCTCGGAGAGGTACGAGCGATGGGAGTGGCATTGTTCTCGTCGAGGGCAGGGAGGACAGGGAACGAGGGACGGCGAGCAGAGGCGCGCGACTGCGTGCGGACGAGGGGCTGCTGCTTCTGCGTGCCTGCGCGGTAGTTCATCTCAGGAGGAACGGACTGGGAGATGTCGCGAGCGACACGGTCCATCGGGATGGCAGTGACGGGAACGTCCATCTCGGAGAAGGGCGTGCCAAAGCGGTAGGGGTTAACAGGGCTCTGCAAGTCTGGCGACATGGCTTCGGCTCGGTCCATGACATACGGGACAAAGCTTTGTTGCTGCTGCTGAGGAGACATCACTCTGTCGATGGGCTGAGTGACGGGCGGCACCGTGGATGCTCTGAGGTTGCTGGGACGCACAGGAGCCTGCTTGCCCGGGATGGACAGCTTCGGCAGCTTGCGAAGACCATCAGGCTGAGGCTTCATAGCAGGAGCGCCCATCTCAAAGGGGGGAGTAGGAGGGACGCTGTTGCTCTGGCGTCTCTGGAAGTCAAGGAACTGACGGACATTATCCTGAGGATCCCTTGAGGTGACGTTTCGCAGAGTAGCCTCCTGTAGGTACTGCAACGGTGTGGCGTTGCCGGGACCCAGGACGTCGGAAGATGCGACGACTGACGGACCCGAGTCTGAGATGGGTCGAAGAATCTCCTTGGGAGTCAAAGCTCTGGCGGTCTCTGGGTTGCCGGGGTTGCCAGTGATGACCACCGTCTCCTTCTCCATATCGACGAAGGGATGCTCCTTTCTGAACGCCGCGATGAGACGTTGCTGCTTTTTGAAACGGGAGCAGTCCTCTCCTTTCGGGCAGTGATGAGGCTTGGGGACCACTTGCTCGATGCCGACAATCGATACAGACTCCATGGGGGTGATGATGTCGTCGTGGGACGCCTTCTTTTGCCTCCTCCTGCTGCTCTTTCTTGGCTTGAGGCTGCACTCGTCTGTCTGACGCTCTGCCGCCCTAATCTCGCGGGCCTCCTTCTTGACTTCACGACTCGGTTCATCTTGAATGGGCGTCGGAGCGCGAGGAGAGCTCGGCCTGCTGTCGCGCAGAAGTTGGATTTGGTTCCACACTCTTGTCCTCATGCCAAATGACGGGATGTCCAACTCCTTAAGATCCTCAAACTTCAAAGTGATGAGGATGGGTCCGTTGATGTCGTTTTCCACGAAACGGCCAGCGACAGAGAGCTCAATGCCAGCATTAAGCATCGACTGCGCCACCATCTCAGGGGTCCACGAGACAAGCTCTCTCGACTGCAACTCTTCATAGGTAAATTGAAAAGGACCATTTTGTTGTCTTGGTACCGGCGGTGGCGGCAGCTTCGTGTATTTGAAGTCGTCAAATGGTCGTGCTGTCTTTGGGGTGACAGGAGACAAAGTCAAGATGGCTTCGTCAAAATAGCTTTCCGCAGAAGAGCGAAACAGATGCGGTCCCGACGGTCCCTCGATCGGTTTGTTTAGTGACTGGATATCGGGGTACGCCACCCGACCCTGGCTTGACCTCGGTGTTGGGATTTCATCGTATGACGAAAGAGTAGTAATACTGGGTTGACCACTCGACTGCGCGCAAATTAGCAACTGCAAAGTAATGGTCGCCGTGCGTGGGAACTTACCGAGTTGACACTTATACGCGGAGAGTTGTCTTCAAGTTCGCTGAGCACTTCATCGTCCCATTCCATATCCATGAACTCGGTTGCTACTGAACTTGGCCTTTGAGGCTCGCTCTTCAGGCCAAAGAATGTGTCGCGCATGGGAACCTTCTCGCGCATCTCGCGATGCAGGTGACGGTCACCCCTGGCGTATTCTTGTACATATTCCTGCGACAGGAGAGTCAGCATCATTGATACCAGAAGCCAAAGCCTGCAGCGAAAGTCCGTACCATTTTGTTGTTTATATGTGTGTAAGTGAGATCGCAAATGCGGAAAGTGGGGTGACAATGAGGCTTGAGCTGGCTGTAACCGGCTTGCGGCTTACAGCGCAGTGCAGCCTCTCTGGGGGCTTATTTTGCTTTTCCGGCCGAGAAGGCGGGTAAAACAGCGCCGTTGCCGGCAGCTCTTTTGGTCTATGGGGAGGGGGAGAGATATTCCTGATGATGAAGCCTGTAGATAGTCGAGACGCACGCTTGGGGCGACTCGAGTTTGGGAATCAAGTTAGGAAAGCCAAATGAAGCCAG